TAACACCCACTTCGACTATGCATAAGTCTTCATATCATACTAAGCCTCATACAATAATTGCTAAAAAAAACAACAACAACAACAACGCCACAATTTCCATGCGTTAATACCATGATGTTTCCTTCCCCCAAGCAACCATTTTCTAAGGGAGTAATTTTGAAAAATATTTAACTATATTTGCATTATCTTTCAATCGGCCGTTCAGCCTATTTCAATCTGTCTTCTCCCACCCTAGCCTGATTTTCAGACAACCGAAAGAAAGGGAGAGAAGCGAAGGGGCCGCGAACGACCCCCTACGGCTGAGAATCAGGCTACTCGATCCGATCCCTGCTGTTTCCATTTAAAAATCGTGTGGTATTTTCAGTGTAAAGCACTCCAGGCTAGCGATTTCTGGTTCGCAATTTAAGGACAAAAAAATAATGTGCTAGCTGTAAAAGGAAATGAAATGAACTCATCATCAATAAACGAAATTCTTCACACTGCTCTTGGTTTTGCTTTTGTACGGCTTGGTTCAGACGTCGAACTTTTCATTAGCCGAACCTAATTCGAATCACCAGGCCGACGCTGCATTGACTGATTCAGACGCCGATCTTAATTCCAGCCGTACTAATTCCAAAGGAGAAAAATATTCATTTCGGTCAAACTGCTTACAAAACACGTTTTAATAACTTATACATTTGGTTCGCGGATACATGAAAAGGTCGTCGTCTGAATCAAATTTGTTCAAAAGTCGATCCAAAGTCGAAATTCCCGGCCGGGCTAGGCTAGGCGGGAAGAATGGCTGAGCCGTTCCAAATTGAAACAGGCGTTCCTAATTGATTCAGACGCCGAACTTTTCATTATTTAATTCAATGTCTTAGGCAGTCTGCAAAAAGTTCGGCGTCTGTCGAACCCCTACGTCTATCCTCCAAAAAAAGGCAAATACCCGTACGTCCTTCATGTTTTGTTTTCACTTCAAGAACATACCTCATATCCCGAGGTAGACTTAAGTTTTGCATAAATCGTAAATTGTGGACGGATTCAACAAACCGGAGGCTAGTGCTTTTTCCCATATTTTTTTCGTGATATTAATGCCAGAGGGTTTAAATTTTAGAATAAGATTTTCTTGCGGATCAGTCTGTTTTTATGTGTTATCTATATTTCAAGGGAAAATAAAATTTTAGCAACACAATTAAGCTTTACCGGAAATGTCCTTACTTCCTTTTTAAACAAAATATATTGTATATTATAGATCAAAAGAAACCTCCAAGACGCCGTTTCTTGAATTCAATTTTAGTTCTTTTTCACGCTCACTTCGATGATGTCATTGCCTTTCATACAACGCCAAGCGTTTTCGCCTGCGTTTTATACAATAATACACGTGTCGCTTACGACTTGTTCACAATCACGAACATATTTCGTGATTTGTTCCAGTGTGTTCAATTTAATTTTTAAGTATTGTACGGACCTAAATATTCATCAAACAGTGAATTAATAAATACCCGGAGGCAACGAAGAACGAATTAAAAGAGAAACGAAATCGAACTCCCTTTACATTAGTTTTCAGTCTCCGCTTCAGCATCGATCAATCTTGATGATACTTTAGGTAAATACAAAAAATGGAACACTCCTGTGACCATTTTCCATTTCATTTCAGATTTATCTCAAAATAAAGTCCAGTGTTATTGATTGTTACCCATATTAAAAGTTTTCGAACGTTGTCATTTTCATTTGCCGGCCAGCTGAAATATAAAAACTGTTTTGCAACAACAGATGACATTTAAGACCTTGCACTATAAATATTTTATCTTTTTCAAAGTCAATAACATCAAACGAGACAATTATTGCGCACGTTTTGGTATACACTGACTCTTCCATAAAGAAGTATTTTTAAAAATTGGGTTTCTAATTGCGATTTTATCAGTATTCCTGCTATTGTTGCAAATTCTTATCGGGAACAAATACGGAAACCAAACGCTGAAAACGAAGCTGGATTTGCATGTGAACCATAGTTTCCGATTATCATGCGGTGCGTTTATATGAGAACTAATAAGATCTGATTTATTGCCAACTTTCTTGACATACAGTTAATCTGCTTATCGAGCAAAAGATGCGTCACAGAACTTTTACTAACGTTAGCTTTTTAGAAACTGGACAATAGGTTTTTTTAGTGGAAAGTTACAATTTTCGCAATAAAAAGTAGAACATCCCCTCAGGGTTAAAAAGCTATTTGCTGTGGGGGGCGATTTACAACATGTAGACCAAGTTGTGTCTTTTCTACCCTTGTTATTATCTTGCAACTAAAATACACTGATTTCAGAGTATAATAAAAGTGACAAACCAAACACAAACATATTTTTTGAGGCAATTATTTCCTAGATTTGCGGTCAGTTATAATATTCATTCTTAGTTTGAAATTGAAGGATAGTTTTTCTCCAAATCTCTGCATGGTTTTGTCGACTGTGAAAGCGGAACATCTTGGCTGAAACAAGGCATTGGGATCCTGGCATTTTCTATAATGAAAAATACGCGCCAAATTCCAGTTCACTTTATCTGCAAGGTAAAACTCTTCGATGGGTTTGCTAATGTGATGTATTCCTTGCTCGAAAATTCTCCGAGGATCGACGATGCACTTGGTCCAATATGGAGTCACTTGACTTGTTCGGTGGAAAACACTCTGGGTTATTAAACGAGAACTGTGCCCTTCTGATGTCGTATCAAAAAGAACGCTTTCAAAGCAATGACCGCAATGTTGTTCCTCATGAATATACTCTAGCAATGAGGTTATGTTCTCATGGCGAAGGGGTACAATGAACTCATCCAAGTCATGAAACGCAACAAAGTCATGATGACTCATGGAACGGAACAAGCAGTCCCATATAGCCAATGGTTGACCAAAATAGTGCAAATCGTCCTTTCCAATATACGAGGGTAAATTCCACGGAAAAACACTCACTAAACCTAGATCTTCGTAATACTTTAAGACGTTTCGCACACTCTCGGAAATTGATAAATCATAAAATGTAAAATGTGAAGCGCCCAAAATCTGCATGAGTTCTAAAAACTCAATTATTTTTCCAACAAAAATGTCACCGTAGACGGGAGGGATACAAATGCCGTATCTCTTTTGAATTCTGCTCTCTTGACCACCGCTTAGTTGATCTATAGAACCAACTGGAAAGACCATCGCGTTACTCTCGCCCAGTTGAGCGGTTAAGGTGACGGAAATATTCATTGAGCATGGAACGCTGTTAAGAGTTTTTGGAACAACACAGGAGGCTATAAAGCCTCCAAAACGCCGTTGGTAATTTTCGTTGTGCTCATAGAACGAGGCCTCAACCGCAATAGTCTTTTGCGTTAAATCGTTTTGAAAAAGACAAGTTACCGATGGAGTTCTTTTCTTCGAGGAAATCAACAAAATTCGTATAAAATGCTGAGATTTTCGATCATCAAACCAAAGCGAGTACACCAATACTCCATGGACAATCTCGCGAAATCTCGGCTTCTCTATGATTTTTGGACAAGCGTGCATCTTTTTTTTGGTAGTTTCGCGCGCAGTATCTGAAACGTGGTCAACTTTTATGTCGTCATAGTTTAAAGGTAAATTTCTACGGCCGAAGTCGCGGTTTCCATTTGATTTATCCTTCACATCCTCAGCACTCGTTATTCTAACTGCTGATAGTTGTTCCTGTCGGGAAATTCTCTCACTACCACTTTCGAAATTTACAAGCAGAAACAGGCCAGTGACTAAAATTGCGACAACCGCAAGTTTTTTGCGTCTGTAACGAACATATCCGCGGATGCAACCACTCTTCACAAAACGTATCATTATTAAAATAAATTGGAAAGCGAGGTTGACCGAGCTAACAACGCCGCGCTACGATCGGTCGTGAAACACACAAGAGAATTGTCACAACAGCCAATAGAAACCGTATTCCAGCTAAGTCAATTTAGTCACAGCGTTTGTACCCCTGCATGACTAACAAACAAACCCTACTCGCATTATTGTAATACGTTTTTGTCGCACTACTTTAAGGAGTTTACATTCAATCGAATGTAATTGTACAGTGTTTCGCCAGACAGCGGAGGTTTCCGTGGCTTGTTTAAAGTAAAATAAATTATGCAGAGAGAAACTGCACAGATGACAATGCTTTGACGCCGGTTTCTGAAAGTCATTTTTTCGTAAACAAAAAATATTTAAATAGAGGGAAAAAAACATGTTCAGATCATTGAGAACAATAGAAACCGAACTAAGCTCGATAGCTTCGTAGAAAGAAAACGAAATGCAGTCAGGAAAGAAGGTCTGGAAAGATCTCAACGCTTCAATTGATTATATTTGAGATTTAATTTCATCTAAATAATTAACAGCAATAAACTGACATTAAAACAATCTTAGTTCCGTTGCACGATTTTCCTTTCAAAAAATAAAACTCGTTATGTTATGTCTGCATTTGGATTAGGAACAGTGCTATCGCCTCTGATAAAACAAAAAGGGGTCTTTAAGTCATGGTCCCTGAAAGAACAATTTTTTTGTATTTGATTACCCTTTAGTCTGAGAAAACAGCCGACATTTGGCGACGCTACCACTGATTTCCCCGCCAAATGAGGTCTGTGAAACGAGCGCAGAAATTCCATACTGACGACGCGTCACTACCTAGATCTGGGTGGCGCTTCTGATTGGTTTAATCAAATTAATTTCCCACGTGGCACAACCAATCTGCGCTCGTTTCTCAGACGTCATTTGGCGGGCAAACCAGTGGTAGCGTCCACAAATGTCGGCTGTTAGGCGAATAATTAACCTTTTCAGTGTATTGATTAATCAAAATTCAATAAAGTCCATTAAATAACAACGGGAATGCTTTACAGTTTTGGTGTTCTTAATCTCGTTGTGCCAAACAACGTATCTCCTACTTTTGCTTCAAAAGAGCACTCAACCATTTCTTAAAGAAATTTCAAAAATTTTAATCGAGGTAGTTTTCCTAACGCTGTCGCTCAGCAAGACTGGACTTATAACGGTTCTGATGATTCCTTTTGCACCCCGCCATTACGGTCTCTCGTTATTAAGGAACTAAGGCTTGGTGGCATGATCAAACACCGTTCGTACTTTAAGTTAGCCGAACCTAACTCATTTACCGCATTTTTTCGGTTATGATCAGTGTGTCAACTTGACTGAATCAAATTAGAAAATTCAGGGTGCGTCGCGTGATAACCGAAGTACAGTAATTGAGTTCGGCTCATGCATCTGAATTGCGGCGTTTAACCTGGGGCCCGTTTCTCGAAAGTCCCCTAAACTTTTAGGGCACGAGTCCTAGCTAACAAAACAGTTCATTTTGTTTTCTTAACCGATAGTTTTATCATTTCATCTAAAAAAATAATTGACACGTTAATCTTTAATGCAAACAACAACAACTCTTCGCGCTTATTAACTACCGCGACTTTCGAGGAACGGGCCCCTAGGACAGGGCCCGAATATACGCGTCCTTCTGACTGTGTTTGCGTTAAAGGGGAAGGGTTGACAGTCTTTAGTTCAGTAAAATTCGGTCACAAGACTGGCTGCCATGCTCTAGCCTTTCCAGCCGGCGAAAAATGTATCTGTACGTTATAAAACATCAATGAAGACTAACTCAAAATTAGATAAAACAAGAATCGCCGAAAGGCGATTTTTAACTGGGCTGCAAAGGGGTTATTTTTTCTGAAGGGAGGGGGCGGCTATACACACTCAGGCTACCATAAAACCTTGTCATGCGACAGAACCTCATGTGAGACTGGCCCTTTTTAAAGACTTTCATAACCAAAAAAAAAGAGTACCATTTTTAAGTGGGGGCTGTATAATAACTTTTAAATTCCATTATGAATAAAAATAAACAAGTTAGCCATTAATTCTAGGCAGGAAACAATTTGCATTATTTCCACGTACCCCTCCCCCAATCCCTCTGTGCCCCAAAATATAGTGTGACAGTATAACGTGACTAATTTGACGTAACTGGAAATTCCAAAAATTGTTGTCGTTCTACGAGCATAAAATGTGGCAGACTGAGCTGATTTACACTAGACAGAAATATTGTATTGTATGAAAACCAGAAGTATACTAAAACAGACAGTTAACTGCCCATTAATCCCGCCTGATCCAGGGGCCTCACTGACTGCACGGAGACTTTACTGCGCTTTTCACAAACATGCGAACTCTAAAGTTCAAAAGCCACCTTCACAGTTGTGTTTATCGCTGCCGTCAATCATAATTACGATCACAAGCAACGAACCTTGAAACAGAGAAACACACAAAACGGATCGAAATCCACAAATCACAAACCATGACCTTTTGAACCCGTGAAGTAAAGTTTTGTTTCCTAAGAGGTCCGTTAAGATGATTGACATCAGCGAAAAACACAATCGTCGGTTAGCTTCCGAACTTCAGAATTCGCATGTTTGTGAAAAGTGCGATCCTAATTTGCGGTCCACAGTCTACAAGAAAACGCACTATTTTTTCCACAAGATGAAAAATATTCAGTTTTAAGATTTTCCTCATGGTATTTTTCTCTAACTTAAAGGAATAAAATCCTTTGCATTTTGAGACCTAAAAAAGTTTAAAGATTTCTCGCTCGCATGTTGCGTTCACCAGCACGCACTTCAAACAATGTAAATAGATGAAACGATCGATAACATATTTTTTACCTGATACCGATGCGAGTTAAAAATTCGCTCCAGTTCTGTTTGTCTCACCCAAGACGAACTTTTCTTCATGGAAGATAACTATCCCGCTTTATAACTCGTCCGAAGTTTTTGTGCCAACTAAACAATATGGAAACACTATCAGGGGCACCCAACGTCAATTTTCGGGAAATATCTGTTCGGAAGACGATTTGAGATCTAGAATTTTCGGAACATTTGTCGTAAAATTTCTTGCTTGCCTGCCTCTCCTAGGATTTTCGAACAGCTAAAAAATGGTATAATTGCCCATTTTTACGGATTTTTACCCTAAAAAGGTCATGAAACTTTCGAAAAGGTAAGTTTTGGGTTTTGATCCCTATAATTTTCGGATCACAAGACTTTCAGCTAGGAAATCCGAACAGATAAAAAATGTTTAGGGGATAAAATTATGCCCAAATCTACCGTTTAAATACTAAAATACGTTTAACAATGCTATGTTGAGTGGTTTTGAACTATATTCTCGTTGGGTGCCCCTGACACTATTCACAGTGACTCCTTGGATATTAAAAAGACTGAACGTGACGCACTATTATGCCTTTGTTTACTTCTGATCACATCTTCAAGCGAAGTCTCTCTTTTCAAGCGATTCATCTCAATGCACAATAATTGACCCTTATATTAGTAAAACCCTATGGTTCATTTATATTAATGCTGTTTTTGCCCCTCACATTGACTGTGTTCGTTCGTATAGAGTACCGAAGTGTGACGTCATAGAAAATGAAATTTGTGAAATTATGGGATTTGTTAAGCTATTCTGAAAGAACAACGTCCAAGACGCCTACTCGCCAAAAATTAGCAATTTGGGGCAAATTGTCTCTGAGATATTAGCCCAGATATGCTGTGACGATTCCATACAAATCCTTCTAAATTTGGCTTGGTTCATAAGATTAGGAACCAGGTAAGATGTAGAAGGATTTGTATGGAGTCATCGGAGCATATCTGGGCTAATATCTCAGAGACAATTTGCCCCAAATTGCTAATTTTTGGCGAGTAGGCGTCTTGGACGTTGTTCTTTCAGAATATCTTAACAAATCCCATAATTTCACAAATTTCATTTTTATGACGTCATCACTTCGGTACTCTATTCAAAACACCTTTACGAAAATAAAGGTCGTATAAGTCATGTGTGTTATGTTTCGAGATAAATGGATTGTACGCTTTTTTAATTTTCCATTTTGCGGTGACTTCAGTTTACATCTCCATAAAATGGTAAAAGAAATATCAAGAAACAGCACGAGAGCTGAAAACTTTCAAAGGCATGTTTCTGAAACTCGCTAATGCTGACATCAATATAGCGTGCTTGCTGAATGGGCGAAAACACAGAATTGTGATCACAAGATCATGTACAAATTTAATGATAAAAGCTAATAGCAAGATACAAATACAAACAAAAGCAAACCCCCTGAAACCTCGACGTGGGCTACACTTGTATGCTCTACTCAGTCACCAAACCTTGTCATTAATAGCTCCTATTTTCCTCAAGTCGCTCTCTGTGAAGCTCGCGGATGGGATGTCCCGGTGAAGCTTTAAACTTGTGTTCGAAATTCTCAGAGTCCCTATTTTTGTCCGTGTCTTCTTTATCCTCAGTATCCGAAATTTAGACCTCCAAAGTGGCGTATGTTGCATCAAATAGAAGAAAATATTTAAAGGAAAAGCCAGTCTTCTAACATGGCAAAGTTGTCACGTCCCTCGCTCATGGACGTGCGTGTTGCCATTCATCGTCAACTGAGTTGTTCGCTTCACTGACTACGAAGGCTTACAATCTAGTCTTCAGCCATAGTGTCGTCAACTGGTGAAATACCTTGCTCATAAATTGTGCTTCTTAATTGCTCATGTACTACATCGATCGATAATTCTCTCTTTGAGTTCACGAAGCGGTCACGGCGTTCCAAACGTGACGCTCAGAGTCATCTTTTAGTGTGAACCTACCGTGAACGGCGTGTCGGTTTGAATGCAACGCGAGCATTTCTCTGAGTTTCCCAGCGCCAACATCATCTAACTGACTTAAACTCGAACAATAAAAAAATTATAGAGTGACTCCCATGATCGAATCGCTTCGAACAACGCAAATAGCCTTCTTCAGGTTCGCAACGCTTTGTGGATTTTTCAGGGGGAGCGCAGACGAGGTACAAAAAGTATCCGTGTAAGGCTCCGTGCAAGAGAAACTCATATGAAACCCTTTGTGAGAACATCGTTTCTCGGTACCAGACCCTCTGTCTTCCCTCCCCCGGGAGGCCGTTTTTCGCCGCAGACGACCGAAAGCCCATTTTATGACTGGGCGCACAGGCAGCCCAGTAAAGAGTTATATTTCTCTATTTGTAGAAAAGTCATTTACAAGCAATTGCCTCTAAATATCAAGGTCGGCGAGGTTTGGGGGCATGCGGAAATCTCTCACAACAGCGTTTATCTTAGAAAATTGAAAGAGCCCTGAGACTAGGTTGTTTACGAAAGAGAGTTGGGAAACAAGACACTTCATGGGCATGGCCGAATGATTTTCAGCACACAGTGTAAGACTTTATCTCTTTTAGTTTGGGGTATATTAAGGAAATTTTGAGTCTTTTGGCTAACATTTTTACACGTAGGATAACGGTATACTCCTAGGCCTTTAGCTAACTTTGAAAATAAATTTATCGGAAAACTTAGATCTGGATGTTATGGTTAGTAGTTGAGTATCTATCCTAATGTTTTAAGTTCATGCATAAGCCTCCCAGTTCATAACTTGAACTCAATAAATGGTTCCTCCAACAATGACTGGATCTTTTCCGAGAAGCCCTTGCCCAACGAGTTGTCTTCACTTGTTGAAGTCTCAGTACTTGTGTTCAGGTCGACCTGTCCGTCAGAACAGGCTTGTCGGTTCCAAATATCAGAAGTCCATCTATCTTAGTGTTAGCTCTGCAGTCGACCAAGACAGAAGCAGAGAAAAAAAAAGCTTAGTAGTTTCTACCATTTTTCAACCTAAAGAAGCGAGTATGTTTCCTATGACCAAGTGGAATTTTTTTGCCGTGGTGGTGGAGGCACTAATGTACTCCCTTATCGAGCTATACCCGCGTTATGTTTGACAATACAAACGAATGTTCTCTTGGAAGCTACAAAGGTCGTCACCCTTTTGGTCTGAAATTGTGTACTCTAGGGTCTGGAATAGGGATTTGGGATTCTGGATGACAGGGTCTGTCGATGTAATTTTAGCCAGTGGATGGAAATAATAACCGCGTGTGTTGGACATTTTGCATCAGCTTGGTTCTTCTCAGTCTCCTCTGCGTTTTTTGTCTCTGGATTAGACCATTATTTAACTGTCCTTTTATTTGTTGCTCGGTTGTACTTTGGGGTCTGCAATTCAACGATCAGAAACTAGTAAGAAATCTAAGAGACAAGGGTTAAAACCCGCCCTTTTGTTTACAAACCTTCACACGTGATTACGTTTCTCCTTTAGTTTACACTACTGGGAGCCTCACCTTTCATTGCCCAAAATTCAATGTCACGTCATATCCAATCAGCACGAACGGTGCCCAGTACTTCAAGGCATTAAATTGTTCAAGTTCCCGCATCCTTTTCATGGAGTGATGAAGCGACTTACTTGCACTTTTCCCTGCTACCAAATGTTTGTAAAAGAGTCTCATAAACTCCAGAGTAGCTTCGTCGTCAAGCTCCCACAGTGACGCAATAACAGAGCGTGCACCGGCTCCTAAAGAGGCACGCGTCATTCCAACCACGCCTTCGGCTTTGATCTCCCCTCGTGCGGTGTGGCAGCAGCTTAAGAAAACAAGCTTGGCGCGTAATTGTGTATCTAACACCTCTGCCATCGTCAAAAGTGAGTCTTTCTCTTCGTGTTTCTCCATACTAGCGGGATTAGGAGACAAATAAATTTCACCGGTTTCTGCACAACCATGAGTTGCCATGTGTACTAAAGAAACTGAGGGAAGCCTGCTTAAAACTTGATATTTTGCAGCGTTCTTACCAGTAAGAGGCTCAATGTTAAGAATCTGTCCAATCATTTTTACTTCTTTCTCAGCACCCGGGAGCTGTTTAAATGGTCTGCTGTTTTTGATGGGTACAGTCTTCAACCACGGATTACCAACAAGCAGTGCACCAGATGCACTATGGCGGCCTTCCGGACACTCTGCCAGCAGCCTCAAGCATGTTAGTGTTGGAGCCAGTCGAATTCTCAGCTTTTCAGACAAATGCCTGGAATGCTGGTCCATAAGAGCAGCATAAGGAATAAAAAATGATGAACGATCAGGGATAATGATGAGTTCATCACCTTCTATTAAGTGTGAAAAAGGAGCTATAACCATGTCATACAATGTTCTTAAAGTACCACCCTCGACTTGCTGTGACGTCAATTCTGTACCCCTTTCAGAGAAGATTTCAATTTCTTTACTTCTGGCTCATCTAAGGAGTGATTCTTGCACTTCACGCCACGGCTGACACCAATCTCTTCGTATGCCTGGTGAGTCAATGACGTCAAATCATCACTGACTTCCTTTTGAAAAAAGTTAAATTGCTGTCCATTAAGCAGTAACCAGAAATACACTGCATTAATATTTGTATCTTCCGCCAGAAATAGCGTCGGTGACGTAATATGACTTGAAATACTAGAAATTGTTAGATCCATTTGCGGTTTTGACGAATTGCGAATTGTTTTTCTGACGCCAAATTGCGATTTCATGAGATCCATAAGAGCTTGTGCTCGCCCTGTCTCTGCTGTAAAAAGCGCTTCAAGAGTCTTGCCTTTTTGTAACTGAAGTCTCCATAAAATTCTAAAGCTAAAATCACTTTCATCCCGGACGTGTATTTTCCACGCGTCTTTGCCTTGAAGAAGAACCCTCATTTTCTCGACCAGCTTTACACAAGATTTACCAAACTCCTCGGCTTTAAAAATATCGCCAAAAAAATGATAACTTCTGGCAAGGTTGCTATATCCATGTCTTTTAAGCTCTCTGTCTCCAGTCTCTTTTGCGATTCCTAGACCCAGCTGATAAAACGCAATTGCTTTTTTGACATCATCGAGAGATTCATAGACACTGCCAAGGTTGTTATATGCACATCCTTCTAAAATTCTGTTTCCAGTCTCTTTTGCGATTCCTAGACCCAGCCGATAAGACTCCATTGCTTTCTTGAGATCACCCAGAAAGTAATAGACACCGCCAAGGTTGCTATATGCAGATCCTTCTAAATTTCGGTTTCCAGACTCTTTTGCGATTTTTAGACCCAGCCGACAAGACTCCATTGCTTTCTTGAGTTCACCGAGAGAGTGATAGACACCGCCAAGGTTGATGTATCCACGTCCTTCAGAATCTCTGTTTCCAGTCTCTTGTGCGATTTCTAGACCCAGCTGACAAAACTCCATTCCCTTTTTGATATCACCGAGAGAAAGATAGGAACAGCCAAGGTTGTTATATCCATTACCTTCAGAATCTCTGTCTCCAGTCTCTTTTTTGATTCCTCGACCCAGCCGATAAAACTCCATTGCTTTCTTGAAATCGCCAAGAGAATCATAAACACTTCCAAGGTTGTTATATTCAGTACCTTCAGAAATTCTGTCTCCAGTCTCTTTTGCGATTCCTAGACCCAGCCGAAAAAACTCCATTGCTTTCTTGATATCACCGAGAGAATGATAAGCACAGCCAAGGTTGTTATATCGACGACCTTCAAAATGTCTGTTTCCAGTCTCTTGCGCGATTCCTAGACCCAGCCGATAAAACTCCATTGCTTTCTTGAGATCGCCGAGTAAGCGATAAACACCGCCAAGGTTGTTGTATCCATGTCCTTCAAAATGTCTGTTTCCAGTCTCTTGTGCGATTCCTAGACCCATCCAAAAAAACTCCATTGCTTTCTTGAGATCGCCTAGCCTGCGAAAACATCCGTTTCTCCTCGCTCTTCGCCGCTGGGGACGTTTCGCGCGGAGGAACGTCTGCGACTCAGCGACAGAAATTCCATACTGATGACGTAAAATCTGTCCGGAATCCGGTCAGAAGCGCTGATTGGTCGACGAAGTAGTTACATTGTTTAAGCTATTGTTTTACAAATGACAGACAAAAGACAAAAGGCCACAAAGGTCAAATGTAAACGCAAAGAATCTCTAACAAAACAGTCAATATTTGTGGAATATACTCTTCTCTAGAAGAAGCATTTGAGTTTTGCTGGAGCTCGTTGGCAGATAAGCAAAACACTTTACCAAAATCGACCAGAAGACACGTAAAATTAGACAGATTTATATTTGGAACCCCATGACTACTGGATTTATTATGTAAACATTGATTTACGTCATCAGTATGGAATTTCTGTCGCTGAGGAACCCAATGACTACTGGATTTATTATGTAAACATTGATTTGCGTCATCAGTATGGAATTTCTGTCGCTGAGTCGCAGACGTTCCTCCGCTCGAAACGTCCCTAGTGGCGAAGAGCGAGGAGAAACGGATGTTTTCGCAGGCTAGAGATCGCCGAGTGAGCGATAAACACCGCCAAGGTTGTTGTATCCATGTCCTTCAGAATGTCTGTTTCCAGTCTCTTGTGCGATTTCTAGACCCAGCTGACAAAACTCCATTGCTTTCTTGAGATCGCCGAGTGAGCCATAAACACAGCCAAGGTTGTTGTATCCCTTTCCTTCACAATCTCTGTTTCCAGTCTCTTGTGCGATTCCTAGACCCAGCTGACAAAACTCCTTTGCTTTCCTGAAATAGCCGACGGAATGATAAACACAGCCAAGGACGTTGTATCCCTGTCCTTCACAATCTCTGTTTCCAGTCTCTTGTGCGATTCCTAGACCCAGCTGACAAAACTCCTTTGCTTTCCTGAAATAGCCGACGGAATGATAAACACAGCCAAGGACGTTGTATCCCTGTCCTTCACAATCTCTGTTTCCAGTCTCTTGTGCGATTCCTAGACCCAGCTGACAAAACTCCTTTGCTTTCTTTAAATCGCCGAGTGAGCTATAAACACTGCCAAGGTTGATGTATCTATATCCTTTAGCAGCTTTATTTCCAGCCTCCTTGGCTTCGTTCAAAGAAAATTCGAAGTAATCTCGGGCTGTTTTGAAATCACCGTGTTTGTAAGCTTTATGTGCAAGGCAATTACGGCAATCCTTTCTGCAAGTTGTATCGAGTTGTCCATGTTTACCTTTTCCTCCTCGACATGCCTAAAAACAGTGTTGAGCAAAGCACCCCAAAAGAGTTAGTATCTGTCCTGGTAAAAGCCATTAAAAGTGTAAAGAGCTTACAAATCCTTCTTACATCTTTCTGAGCGCGGGTTGTTTGGTACGAGTCCGTGTGTTATTGTGATAAACGGCACAAGATCCACAGTCAGAAAAAGGATTTACAAAATCCACAAGGTTGATGTCTATTGGGCCTATCTATGCATTTACGACAAGATATTCCCATTCAAAGACTTAAAAATATATACACATCCAAACAACGGGTGAAGTTCGTGTGTCGTAAAACACAGAGTGCAGGCAGCCCAATAACAAAACATATGGACACAGTATTGCAGTTGCCTTACGGACACAGTTTAATATATAACAATTATCTACCGAAGTGGAGGTGGCTAGTATTGCTATTTACCGAGACCGCGAAGCGGCGAGGAAAATATCCACTACAAGCCACCGACACTGAGGTGAATAATTGTTTTAGTATATACTAAAACAGTGAGATAATTGAGCACAAAATGATGATTTTTTACTCATTTACTGTTGCCAAAGATTACAATTTTGGCGCGCGATGACCGAACGGCCGCGGTCGTCGCTTTTTCTTAGCGACAAATAAAACTTTTGAAGGCGTTTGTTTAGCTCTTGCGGGGAAGTTTCTTCAAAAGGAGTTGTGAATTCTGTTTGTATTTAAAATGATTCTGTAAAAAAGATTATTAAATTTAGTTTTAAGCTTATTTATGAACAAGTCAACTAAATAAAGTAACGCAAGACTTAAGCTTAATTTGCATTTGTAAACAAAAAACTTTTTCACCAATTTTATCGATAACTATTCAAGTCAAAAAGACAAAGCTTTTCCTGTTAAAACTTCCAAACCAAACTTAGTGTATTTCGGAAATAGCTTGCTTGATTAATTGTGAAATTTCTTAGTTTGTTACGGCAGCAAGCCGGGAAAGCATTTTGCTCGCAACCTACGCGAGTTTGGCGTCGCTCGCTCGGAGGAACTGGAGGTGAATCAGTGAATAGTGCAGGATATTCACTGTTGAGTAACCAATCAGAGCGCGCGAAAAACACTATCCACTGTTTTAGTATATACTAAATAGATTTAGCCAGGGCTAAAAGCGAAGCTCTCGTTAATATCTATAGATTACTGAAACATAATCTAAAATCGTGTAATGCTAACCAAGCGACGACGGCAACGAAAACAGCAAAAAAAGAACAATAGTCTCATTACCAAAAAAAACAACTTTTTTTTGTACATTTCTTTGCCGTTGTTTCGCAGGACGACAATGTGAAACTTCCAGAAACTTCCTAGTTATACGTTTTATGGAGGAAATGTTGTATGTTTTCCTGTTCACTATTTTTTCGCTGCCGCCGATTTTTACCCTGGTGGCCGCTAGCATTTCTCATTTTCTCACAGCCGCTATAAAATTGTCATGTTATTCTTCAAACGAAATTGGTCTGATTTGTTTTTTATCTCTGGCTCTAGTTCTTTCTCTGTTCTGGAAAGAAAGAATCAGCTTCGTTGTTGTTTTGTATCTCTAAACGTCCGGGTGGCTATGCGATTTACCGCCGAAACGCGCGGGTACTTGAAATGCAAAATATCACCCCGGTTTACATGAAGGGGTGAACGTACGTACGGACGATTTTCTCAGAACCAAAATTTCTTGGATGCATAGTTTACCAAATTTTCTTACCCATGGTGCTCCGCTTCCCGCGAGAGAGCTCCGCTATGAAAGGGATTACCTCCCTATCACGGACAGTTCTTTCCCAATGATGTCAAACTTTTCACAAGCCCTGGATACTTCGCTATCCATGCGGAAAAGATGGATAAGATAATGGCATTTATATAGCGCCTGTAAAAGACATTTCTAAGCGATTACATATTAAGTTTAAAACTTTCAATTATCCTCATTTACAGTATAAATGTAAAAATTAAAACTAATTACATGAAAGAACATGGCTACAATTCAAAAGTAAGCTTTGAAATTACTCGTAACCCGTTCTACAATAGAGGCGCATGCACTATAAAAGCGCAGACCTAAGGCCATAATTTATCATATTCTACTTAACTGGTTTGAGCTTTAATTTAACGGAGCAGAAAAAAGAGCTTGTAATTCTCCCTGGCTGGCTAATACTTCTCTAAACGAAATAATTCCAAAACTGATTATCTTAAGCAAAATACATCCAACCATATCGAAAGTGAAAGAAATGGCTGTAGATAAACTCTAATTAATACATAACAAATTATCTTTAACTACAATCGTGGACAAAAGTCCTTGGGACTGGTAATGCAGTATTTATATTTTTCTGTCGTTTCTGGCTTTTCTCATAAAACAGTGCATCTTTTTTCGAACTTTTCTTGCAGTTCTCCCTCCCCCCACCCTATACAAAGTTGAAACTCACAATAAATTCTGGATACAAGCGTTCAACTTTGTTTGTGGGGTGAAGGGAGGGGTTGGGCCTATGTGAATTGGAAAACGCCACAGAAATGCAAAAGTGTTCCAAGACGTTTGTCCATGATTGCAGATACAATTTATAGATAGGAATAAAATGAGGAATATAACAACGTCCTACTACTTAATTCTTGCCGAGTTTTCATTCATGCGAAGGTGCCTCGATACGTTTGCGTTCGTTTTTAGCTTGCCACTCCCACGGTAAATATTAAAGTTATCTTCTGCGCTTTTATTAATCAAGAAAAATTGGGGGAAGGGTGAGTAACAATTAGGCGGAAAGGGGAAGTTTTGAGATTTGAGAGTGCATGATAGAAAATTTGAATTTGAAGTGAATAAAATTAATGGAAAATGACCAGCTTAGTACTTTTATTTTTGGAAAAGCACAAGACAAAGAAGCAATAAACTGTTTTCTTTGGCACACATTTGGTCTATAAATATTGGACTTATCATATGACTTCTCTTTTGTCAGGTAATTTCTTCCACAATTTAGTCTATCTCTATAATATATCTAATTATAATGTTGATCTTTACTTCGTATTCTGTGCGAAATTTTTGATGATTGGTGTGTAACCCTTTATATTCAGACCGCGCTTTATATTCTTCCAGTGACCGAGTGTAGGAGGGGGTTTCGGAAATCCCCCTTTATAACTTCAAAACCGCTCTTGTTACGGCCACCAAAATTACAAAAAACAATTTACTCATCGTTTGTAAATCATCTGGGTACAACTAGATTAACGTAATGAAGTAATTTGACTTCAAAATGACGTCATCTTTTTTAAAATATACTAGCTGAATCCAAATGCCCCTCAAAGTGGTAATAAAGCGCAAAAAATTCCAAAATAGTAAGGTGTCTGATAAAATTAGAAAGTTGGATAACACATCAATTGCAGTGATGTTATGATGACGTCAACTATTAAAGGATCAAGGCACTGGAACTATCCGCCATCTTAAATCCTTCATTTTGAATTAATCAAATGTATTCTGCTTTACTGAAAACCCATATAAGACGTATAAATCAAGGTAATCGTGATAGGAAATTTGGTCTGTGTATAAAAGGATGCTCGGGAAGCAAAAAATCTACAAAATATGAGATTCCCAGAGAACTGAACATTGTGGAAAATTGAACCATTCGTTTGATTCATGTTTTTTTTCTCAAATTAGTCACAAAAAAGCCTGGATCACATGTTCAGTTATAATAAATTTGATAAGATAATGCTGAATTAAGTGTAATTCAATGATAGTTCCATATTTATACTATTGCGATCTAGCTTGGGGTGGCACCTATAAAGCGAACCTTCAAAGAATTGTAATCTTACAGAAACGTGCGCTAAGAATAGTGAACAATTCTACCTACGATGCCAACACTGGTCCCATCTTTAAGGAGCTTAAACTTTTCAAATTTCATGATATCCATTCGTTTCAATTAGGTTTTTTTATCTTTTATAAATTTTCATATGCTTGACGGTTGATTAAATATTTGCGTGGACTACTTCACGAGGCGGTAAGTGAAACCCGAACGGCTTGTTAGAATAAACGTATCGAAATTCCAATAAAAACTTTCCAAAATTTGAATTTAGCGTCCTTTTATTTAGGTTTGTTCATGAATATTAAACGCTTCAGTTAAAGCTACTTGAAATGCGATATCGTGAGAAAAGAAAACAACTATAAATATCTAGTCGCACTGTACACGCATCACTTTAGGACACGACGTACGTTTTCTGTTTACTTTTCTCTTGCAAGTCTGTTTTGGGGCGATTTACGACAAGAAGCAAACGTTTTTATTCATACTCGGCTACTTCGTGTGAATACGATAACGTGGAAGTCGAAGAAAAATCAGTAATGTGTCATGCTCCTTAAATTATAGCTGGCAAAGATGTTGATGTATTTTTATCTTATTTTTCATATTCAAATCTTTTTATTGGTCAATTTTCGATATTTAGCTAAAGTATTTTATTTGAAAATTTGGGAATCCAGTTATTTTCCCTAATTAGTCGTGCAAATGTTGTTTTGAAATCGCAGAAATAAAAAATCGGCAGGGAGTGTTTACTTCAACATTTCTAGGGAAAAACCAGCTCACACGCCAGACACGCGGCACGTTCAACCGCTCTCGTGCGAACTTGTATGGACCAATCAGGAACACTTTTATTGTTGTTTGCTGAAACCAATCAGAGACAATCTTACTACAGGCTAGGGTTCCCCAGAGCTCGTCCTCCCTGGCATCATGCGCAGGAGAGCTCTGGGGTCGAGATTGGGAGCGCCCCCTGTTTGAATAGCGTTAATGGCCTACAGCGCATGCGTCAATAACCTCTTGCTCTCTCAAAGACCATTTTAGTAACATCTTTCCTTTGAAAGCCCATTTTAGTTTGTTTATGTCGTTATTTGGACATGAGTAAATATCAAGCATCACTTTTTTGATACTTTCTTGCTTCTGTTCTGTCATGGCCTTAACTGGCATCGCTCTTCTTGTAAACAATCGTAAACTTTGTCCCTTTTGAAGGGCAAAGCAATCAGACATAAACGGAAGGATGGTGGTACCGATGAAATCCCGGCTTTAATCAGAGTCAACTAAATATCAGTACAATAACAGTACAATATGAAGGCCTTGATGTGGATTGCTTATCCTAGCGAAGAGCTTATTATAGTAGTATGAAATTAAAACAAGATACCTCTTTCTCGATTTTTCGCCTTCGGCATGTCAAAGCCAGCTCCAATAAGGTTGTGTTTTCCGTTTCAATCTTTTCAAATTGTTAAGGCGTAAGTAGTAATATATCTTAAAATTAAGTGCGTGTAAAGTATACTTGGAATACGAGGAACGTTACTAGTTGCACCATATGGGATACTTAGAAGGTATACTAGTCCACTATGGGGCCAGAGGTGTTGTACCTGTTCATAAGACAAAAGGTGACTAAGAGACATCTTTTCTTTTCTTCATTTCTCTTTTTTGGTTTTGCTTTGAAAGTAAGACATGCTTCAAAAAGGACGTGTTATCATATTCAGTTTGTAGTTTAAATCGTCAGTGTAATGCGTATAGCTAGTACCGAGACTACAGACTATATTTTGTAGGCATCAAAAGGATACTGCTAATCCTTTGCACAGACTTTCGCCCCTATAAAGGTGTAAAAATGATTATGATTATATTCAAATCAATGAAACAGGCATATACAGCGGTACGATTCCGCAGGTTGAAAAGATCGTATGCGGGTTCTTCTAATGAGATGCAAGATTTCACCAGTTGCGCGACTCGTACCACTTGACAGGGTCCTCTCTCAAACAAACTAACTAACTTTTGTATCGATCCCCTCTCGCGATCTCGAGAACATTGCCCTCAATTTCTAAGGGGGGCCCGGTCAAGTGGTACAACTCGTACGAGTCCTGCAACTGGTGACATCTCGCATCTCATCTCATTAGAGACACTTAGAATTGTGAACCATTGTTTGAGAGGGGGCCCTGACAAGTGGTAGTCGACTCGTACGAGACTGCAACTGGTGAAATCGCAAAAATCCGTTGAAAAAAAAGAAAGAAAGTAACGTCTGTGCACAGGCTATGATTACATTGACATCATGATAAACTCAGTGTGTTTCTTAGAGGCCACTGAACCTTTGAAATTATATTACCTGCAATTATTGGTTTGATTGACGACGGTCGAATGTCCGTGGCATTTTTTGTATCAACCAGTGAGTAAATGAAACGTCCTATGAACGTTGAAAAAAAAACATAGGCAAAATGTCAATGACAGAAACGCATGCGCAGCGAGCCGTCAGACTTTAAAAGCAAACACGAGGAAGCAAAAGGTGGCAAGCGCTGGAGGATGAAGGCAAGTCCCAAAGTCAGACCCGCATTACCAAGAACTAGTGTATATAGTACCAACCTCACTCCCCCCCCCCCCTACCCCCCACTGGATAGTACAATCTACAAGATCAAAAACTTTCTTTATAGTAGATTTCACTCAGCTGTTCCACCTAGTTTACAGGGACAGACTACTCAAGTAATCACAAACAAATGGTCCGAAGTAAACAAAACACAAAGCCCCAACTAACAAAAGTTTAGTTAAGTCAGGATTATCGAGAAACAAATCCTTGCAGCTTCTTTTGACTGAGTAAGCTGACTGATCAATACAACTCAGTACCTCCGGATTGCGCCTTGTGACGAGCCAACCACGTAGCTAGTCTCCCATTCCTCCTTTCCCGCCCAGTATTTGCAAAATACGGTCGAAGCTCTCGTAAGCGACCACCTCGCAAATTCGACTGAAAATGTGGTCGCATCTAGAGCTGTTGGTTTACAAAATTAAGCTTTCGAAAGTGACCACAAGGTAAAACAACAAACGGAGGTCGCTTAGGGGAGTTTCAGAAACAAATAAATAATTCATATGGAAAAAACAAAAGACATTAATGTTCAATGAGTGTCTTTATAACTGAAATGGACATGGCTAAGCTTTATGTTCAATTTTTAGACCATTAGCTCAGTGTGTAGTTTCATTAAAGAGTTGATTTATATGAATGAGAATCTGAGTGATCATTAAAGCTTAAAAACAAAAGAATTAAAACTCCAGTTGGGTAATCCCAAAAGTGGTCGCGGTCGCTTACGACAACAGCCTTTCATGATAAATTTAAAGTCACAGTTCAAACGGGGTTTCACAAAGGTGGTCGTAACTAGAGCTGGTCGCTTACGAGAGTGATTGCAAGGAGAGCTTCCACTGTACAAGTAACCTCACCTGCTCGAAGGTTCGCATATGCTCTGTTGCTGTAAAGTTTAGCCATGATGTCTTTGTCCTTGCAGTTCACTTTAATGCCCTCAGTGTAAAAGTAAATGGCGTTGTTGTAATCTTCCTTTAGATACGCTTCATTTCCTTCATTTTTGTAAACTTCTGCTATTGCTAAAATTGAAGCAGATAGAAAGGTCTTTGAACCTGACTGCCAGTTGTCTTACCACCTTAACAGCATAGGCTGTGACATAGGCCGTTTTGCCCCATGTAAAGGAATTCGGATTCCGGAATGCGATTTCGAATCCGGGAACATTTTCCTGGTGGAATGCTAAATCCTGGACTTTGGAATCCGGAATGCAACTCAAGGAATCCGGAATCTCATGACTGGAATCCAGAATCCAGTTTCCACTGACAAAAGACTGGAATCAAGTACCTGACAACCGGAATCTACGACGTGGAATATAGAATCCAGCACCGTCTTAGATTCACTTACATGGGGCGAGCCGTTGTACAAAGGGTGTCGAATTTTCTCAGTCTTATTATTTTTGTTTTTGCTTTTTTTAATTCGTTCCTGACAATATTCGACGTTGAATTGTCTTGTTTTTCCCATATAACTAGGCTTGTTATTTGTTTCTAACTATAAGCCTGTTAGATTTGCTGTGGTAGCTGTCTTGGCAAGACTTAGCGTAGCCTTCATGATATGACTAAGAAACCATATTAAAACTCTCTATCTACCGACTACGAGATAATCAGGCCAGATACATTAGATTGACTTCACCAGGTCTGTAAGGGCATTTTATCCACTAAACCACTGATTTCCATTCAGCCATACATTAAAAGAGCAAAGAAACGTTACTAAACAATTAGAGCAGTCTTTAGAAGCCTATCATGAATGTCAAAAGATGTTTGTTAGCATGTTTATACATTACCTTTTGGGGGTTTATAATTACGTTAATCCAAACACATAATGGTGAGCATACTGCGGGGGTTGGGGGGGGGAGTCCGAAAGATAGGGGGAGGTGTTCTGAAATGGCAGGAAATGATTCAAAGACTATTATCCTTTAATGCTAGTAATGAACTAAATTATTGTATTATTACATATGCACTTAGGCTTCCGAAAGTCGGCAAGCTGGAGCTCCTTTAGATGAAAAGGTAAAATTGTGCAATCTCAGTAACTGTTCAATATATCACTAGGGTGGAACATACAATCACGGAACCATACCCATGGTCGTAAAATAGCTTCTGACTCCATGATCTTTATATTTATATTACATTTATTCGTTCCTTGTTATCAGTCAGCCCTCGGTCGTACAAGCAAATTCATACCCCCACCGTGGTACAAGGGAGGTTGATTGAATCCCTACCCAGAGTTTTAGATGAGTTGCAGTATTGCAAAACGATTTTGCCTTCAGTGGAAAGCCTTTAATCTTGTCAACAGATGAGGTATATTTTGTATGTGTTAGCGCTGCTGGAGGCCTGTGACTTCACCAACAATGGTCGCTATCTTGGATTTTACCAAGAATTAGAAATCAGGTTGAAATAGCGATAAGTGGTAATTTTTTGCGCTTGACACGTAAAATATTAAAAATAAGCACTTTGTATCATTTCATCCACAAGTTTTTCTTTTATTGTTCATAAAAGTTGACAAAACACCACTCAAAAATAGCTTGACCTGCTACTTATGACGTCACGTCTCGTAACCATAGTAACTAACCATCATTAAACTTGTCTAAAAATGCGCGCGAGGGATAAAAGAACAGCTACTGAAAACTTCGGGTGCTGATGTTTTATCGGCAAGGAAAAAAAAAAAAAAACCTTAGAGCAAACACCCCCTCCCCCCCCTTGTACGTCCGAGGGTTAAACAGTTAAAAGCCCTCGAGTGGTACACTTTTATTAAAGGTTCAAAGTATCTTTACCTTTCAGAGTGTCTTCGTCAAAGTCCAGGACTTGTTCAGGAGTTGTTCTGATCCCACTTTGCGCCATGAATGCTTTGATATGGACAAAAATCGGAATAATGCTGTCAATTACCTCGATCATCGTGTTTTAGCACTGTTAAACTGTCCCTACGTTTTCCTTGGTGCTTTCGATTTAAAGTTAGATTCATATATAATACTACTTTCCAAACAAAATCAAACAGAATAACTTCAGTTGCAGGCAGTCTGGATCTATGAAACGCCCTGTGATACTATGATCATGTAGCAGTAAAGGTAATTTGTGATTCTGTATTCTTTTTGCCGTGGTCCTTTCAGTTAACACATGAAACTGCTTCTTAAAACCATTTCAGTGGCAGGCAGTGGTCCAGCCTGAATTTCAGCCGTCTCCTTGGGTCGCGCTTTCTCAGGAGTGTAAGTCGTCTCGGGAGACGCTGAAATTCAGGCTAATATAGTAGTGTTCCTGAAACACTCCACCCTGTAATTAATCAGCGATCGCGAATCCACCCCTGACGTTCCCAAAACTTAAGCAGCTCACTCATCTTCAGATGTAGGGCGATGGTTTTATTTTTTTGTTGTTGGTGGTGGTATTTTTTCTAGGAAGTCAACATACATCCTAAAAATTGTAGTAAAGAGTAATACTTTGGCGAGTCGATAACTCGAAACATCAACACAGTTAATGGAGCTGTGACAGTCTCGAAATTACCAAACTTTAAACAGTAGGAACTGCAACCAATTAAATTGAGTGAAATGTACAGACGGAAAATCTTGAATAAGATTAAAACGGATTGCAATCGTGGGTTTTGAAAACTTGTTGGCCTACGACTGAACTTTTTTTTAAAAGTTTTTGTTGTTGTTAGGAAGCCAATATTTGTCAGGCAAGAAGCTGTGATTTTACTATTTGCAAATAATTTCTTCACTAACGTTAAGTTCCATAGCGTAAATTGGATAACAAAAAGAACAGGACAGCCCAGACACAGCAAGGCGCAGATACTAGGATAAAAGCTGTCCGATTTCCTAAATGAGAGCAAAAGGCGTAAGCTTCTAGAAGGGGAGGGGGGGGTGTGAGGGCTCTCTCCCCCTTGGGAACTTTTTTGGATTTTAACACCCGGAAGTTCGTTTCCTGGGTTTCTGAGTTATTCAGAGAGGATATTAGCGAGATTTTAACTTGGAAAGTTTTTTTTTCATTTCAAATATATTTATTTATGAAAAATTTGACCTATCTGGTCTGTATCCGCACCCGACAGAATCATAGTTGCAGGAATGTGCTCATGAGAATTAAGCTGATGAACATAAATTCAGGGTTCATACAAAAAGTTGCAACAATTTTTAAGGACTTTTCAAGGACCACATTTGATTTTCATGGAACACCTACCAGGAATGTTTGTAATTCCACAGATAATTTGTACAAAAATGCACATTCCCAGTCCATTGTAACAGAACTTTAAGGCTTAAACTGTATGCTCCACCAAATTCTCTACATTTTTCACTACCGTTGTCTTTATAATTGATAGATCATTATTGCGGCATAAAACAAAAACGCTTTATGTAAATCACCTTTAACTTCTCTGAGCTTTGATTTGTATTTTGTCCCCTTAATCAACCAAAAGCATTGAAAAACACTTTTCAGACCACTACATTTAAAGTGGAAGAAAATTCAAGGACTTTTCAAGGACTTTCACAGAAATTTTTAAGGACTTGTCAAGGACTTTCCCTGCAATTCAAGGAATTTTCAGGACTTTGCGAACCCTGATAATGTATCATTTTTGAGCAACAAGGCCCGCGTGGCACTTTTCTAAGGAGCGGGGGTGGAGGGCGCTGGATTTAATTGCGTAGGGAAGCGGGAGGAGCTGAGTGGTGCAAAGGCTTTACTAAGCCTGTACAAATGGATCCAGCAGTTATAAGAATACTACGATTAACGGATTTCGTCGAACAAAAAAATAATTAATACTATAGCTGAAAAGCTGAGGGTGTTTCCATTTTTCAAGAACAGCCTAAAATTCCTATCGCTCTCTTCCGGCTTTCCAATAGCAGTATGCCGCGGATTCCTTATTCATCAATTTAGCTAGGATGTGTACTTTGTGCTCAGGACCTGATCTTCCGTTTAAAATATCTACAACATCATGGAGAACCTTTCTATTCACAAACCTGCGAGATAGGTTCCATAGTGTGCATGTTATAAAGACGTTAATCACCTCAGCCTTTTAATGGTTTTAGTAACTCACTCTCACGCAAACTCCCCATGAAATCGTCGACAGTTTACAGCGCAAAAAGTGCTGAACAAATAGCACGAAAAAGGCACTTCTGCCACGTCATGGACAATAAATTTTGCAGAACTTTAACTTACAATGATTCAGGATAATTACTCCTATCTCACTCTATCTATTATTCCCTTTTGTGGACGGGAGTAAAAGAACATCCTTAGTCTAGTATCAACAAAACTTATTAAGTGAAGAACTTTACGAATTTTTTTTTAATTTGCTAAAAAGTGGAGAGGGGCAAGGCCCCCTGGCCCTTCCCCTTCCTCTGGCCCTTTTATCTTGATAGGCATTTAGGAAATTGTTGTGTAATTTGCAATTATAGCTGTCGTCATTGGTAATACCTTGTTGCAATTTGTGTTTAAAATGTTGTTTCATATAGCGCGTTTGGCAGTAAAAGATATATTAAATTTGTTAGCTTGCACCTTTTACCCTCTAGCTTATCGCTTTGTTAGCTATACGACACCTTAAAGTTTAACCATCCACCCACTCCTCTTTTACTTTTTTATTGAGAAAAAAAAAACTATCAGTAAGTAGCTAAGTGAAGTCAAGCCTAAACTAAACCTCAGTTATTTCATGTAACTGTCAATTTGATCCTTTGTTGTATTATGTAATTATACAAATCTGTATTTTTTGTTTCTGTAATATGTCAATACTTTTCTGTGCTGTAAAAAAGCATTAATAAAAAAAAAAACGAAAAGATATTTTAACCATACTCAAACAATATCCAGTAACTTATTAGCATTTTTAGCATATTCGCATCAACCCTTTTTTCACTTTCCAAACTGCAAAACGTAAAACTGGAGAAAAGCCAAATAACCTTTTCAAAAACGGAACTATGAAAGTACCACTGAAACAGCTTTGAGAATGATCATACGTTAAATTTCATCAGTAAGATTCAAAGGTTCGAACTATTTCTTCTTTGGGGCTTATGATAACATGCCTTCCTGATTGACTTTAGGGGCAACCTGAGAAACCAGCTGCCATCTTTTTCCCAGCAAAAAGTCATCGGGGGAACGACCGCAGAAAGTCCATACTGATGACATGCCACTACCCACATCTTGTTAGCGCTTCTGATTGGTTAAAGCAAATTTCCCTCCCAAGGCGACCAATCAAAAGCGCTTTCCAGACATAAGTCGGCAATACGTCATCAGTATAGATTTTCTGCAGTCGTTCCCCAGACGCTTTCGTGGGGAAACCAGTGGTTGGGTCGCGAAATGTCACTAGGCTGCACTCGGTTATTTTCTCAGGCCAACTCGATATAGAAGGGTTCAAACGCGGAACAAATTTTTGTTTTGGACTCGTCATTAGCACTAAACGAAAACATTTTTACAGCCAGAACTGGGCGTAAATTTATTATTGAGGCTGGTCTTCTAGCACACACATAAAGGGTAGGTTGGGTTACCAAATACCGTAATGACCGCAAAGAACAATTGGCAAATCCAGCAGTAACATGTCGAAAATCGTCCAAAACGCAAAAATATCTTATCTTGCGTGTTTAGAGATATCGATACCGTAATGTTGCAGTTCAACAACAACAATTTCCAAAATAGTCCGTATGAGAAATTACCACAAAGACCACAAAACCGCAAACATTCTCAGTGTATAGCGCTGAAAATGTAGACCTCTTCGGCAGCAAATCCTCTTCCCCGGGGTAGACAACTGTTTAGCCTGCGATCATCCTCTCTTTTATCACTATTCGTCTCTCATTTTCCTCCTTTCTCGTAAAGGAAAAAACGCCTGATCGCTGGTTACACTTTCTTCTTCTTTCTTCTTTTTTCTTTTCTTTTTCGTGGGTGGAGGAGGGGAGCACGGGAAAATAACACTTGAAATTAATTGATTTAGGTAAGTTGTTTGTAGGGGGTTTCACCGGAATAGAAGGTGCTTCATTTTGGCTTCCTTGATGCTCCGTTTTCGAGTTGAGGCAAGAGGGTATTTCAGATTCGACCTGAGGATACTTGGTTCTTTTTCGATGAGGTTGTTTATTTATTTTTATTTACACGAGAGTCCGATTGTTTCGTTTTCCATAATCCGTAAATAGGCCATTTCCAGGATGACATCTTTTTACTACCAAGACCAGAATCATTTCGTTTTTCTTTAATATTTAAATTTGCTAATCCCGGTGAGGTTTAAAAAGCAAAAGCCCTAATTTGTACAAGAAAGCAAAACCCTAAAGGTTTGTGGTAGTAGTTGTAAAATGACGTCATCGTGCAAATGGCCTATTGGTCACTACTTTAGTATGCTGAATGCCCCACCCTTTGAATAGAAGCGAGGCTGGTGACTCCGTTGTGCTGCTAACTTTCCTCTTTTTCACATGTTAATGATCATGTGTATAGGGGGTTTGGGGGGGGGGGGGTTTACTGCCATATATACCTAGTGCACAGAGGAATTGACAAAACTAATCGAAAATTATAACTTTATTTTCATGACATTTTGGCGACACTTTAATTTAGCTAATGTACTGATTTTTCTAAAAATCGCAAAATCAAAATCCATCAAAATAAAAAGTGTTGCCAACTTTAAATCGTCGCTAAACTGAAGTGAGTACAATATGAAATTCCACCGTCTGGTCAGTTCCACAAACGTATGCTATTTGATGATCGATCATGACTTTGTGTGACAATGTTCCTTAAAATGTGGTGAGGACAGCATTACAGATGCAGTTTTGTTTGTTTCGTTCGTGAAAATTAAGTTTCAGAACGTTATATAATTTTGATTTAAATAAAGCTATTGACGTTTATGATTTTATCAGATAAATGTTCTATTGTCGTCGTAAATTAAAGTTTTGAATACCTTAATTCGCCAAAGTTTAAGTTCGTGAAATCGCGAAAATCAAGTGTCTTATGAACAAAATTTTCGAAGAATCACTAAATTAACGTGTCGCCAAAATTTCATGTAATACTGAGGTAGCTGATTTTGCAGGTAACTTTGTAGGCAACTAATATAATGCTTTCTGCTAGCTTCTGAGCCAACGGAGTGCGCCCACGGAAGAAAAATATGGCAATACTAAAGTCATAATTTAAACGCAGGAAACTTGGAAGGTGCAACGCAGCAAAGCATTTATCAATATTCTTTGTTACAAGGGAGGAAAAAAAACACTCAGTAAGCAGAATAAGCAGTCTAAATGGAGAGAAGCAGATCATTTGAAGCCGATTAATATAACCTACCTGTACTCTCGCGAAGGAATGACTTGTTTGATTTGTTTCAGAGCACCTGTTTCTCTCAGTAGCACCTCGATAATTATAATGGATATTTATAAGGGGCGTCAACTGAATAAATAGTCCGTGGATGATCATGTGGTCAGGAAGGCATGACGAAAGAGGAAATGTGTGTGGTGATATCCAATTTGAGTTTATTCATAGAAACCTAAGATAATTATTCATAGAAACCGAGGATAATTATTCATAGAAACCTGGATAATGAAATAAACAAACGTTTGATGACCTCCGGTAGAAAATAAAACTCTTAGGGAGCGGTCATTAACTATTGGGGGGGGAGGGTCGGTATTATTTCAAAGGTTAGAGCCCAAAAATGTTAGCCCCTCTCAGGTTAACAGCCCAAAAATCTTGGCCCCCTTTAAAATGTGAGCCCAAAAAATTGTAACCCTCCCCTGTGAAAAACTTTTGATTTTTTTACGAACGTTATTTTGAGACAATTATTTCACTGGAATAAGAAAAAAGTGTTACTATTTTAATACACTATTTACAAAACCCAATGGTTCACCAAGTAAAGGGAACCCGTACATTAAACAGCCCCGTTGTTACTCATTGAATTCCTGTTTTGTAGTCAATTTCAAGAGTGAACAAATTGTGCGTATTTAATAACGGATCAGCGAGAGCTGTCTCTATTCAAGAGAAGTCCGCAGCTCTTGCTCGACCCCTCCAGGTCCTGCAAGTTCGGCCATATCGTGTGGTGTGCAAAAGATTTTCAAAGTTATTTTCCTGCTGGACCGATTCGTCTTCCTCCTGGTCCTCATCAGAATCCTCACTGATGTCATCATCGCTATCATCCTCTCCGATTTCGTCCAAGACACAATCATCATTGCCATCATCAATGTCATCATCAACATCATCGTCACAATCGCTGTCATCGAGATTTTCGCTACCTGCAACTGAAATCTGTAAAGGATCCTTCTAAGGCTGGATTTCTTCTAAGAGAAAACCACATTCTCAAGCCGCATGATTCAACGACCATAACGCAGAACATGTTACACATAAAGAGGGTCGAAACTTCAATCGAAACTTTACAAAAAAACCTAAAGGAACACTTAGAAAGAACAATCCATTCATCAGGTAGAGTTTTAACAGGACATAAAACTGCACATGACTTTGATGAGCAAAAGCTAACCGAATTGCAGGGTTTTAGAAATGAATTACACACTTTAATAACTAGTCTAAGTCAGCTCCAAGAAACCTGCAAAGCAGCATTTAAGCACCCCTTTTCTGCAATGAAAAGAAAATCAAGAAAAAGGAAACAAAATACCCAAAAGAGTGTGAAGCGGAAAAAGGCGAGGCATGTGGCCAGGACGACTGAGGTCCTCAAGAAGATTGCGCCTGATTGGTCGGAGGGTAAGATTTGTGAGAAGGAGGATTTGTGCGGAGACATCGTAAAAGAACTTGGAAAAAGAGAGCAGAAATGGGCGGTAGCTTTGATGTTTGATCAGTGCGAACTTTTGAATGACAGCGCGAAATCAGAGCTTAGAACAATGTTAGGGTTTTCTGAAAGTGAGAGTAGCTCTAATGCAAGTGACGGCGATGAAAGTAGCGACCAAGACAACCTAAGTAGCATCAATGACAGCAAAGACAGTGAAAGAAATAGCGATGACGGGGCCGATGATAGTGATGTAACTGAACAATGTCAGGAGGAGGATTCGGGAAGTGTCTTTACTGCAGTGGAAGCATACGACAGCAGCAGTGCAGAAGACATTGGCCCCTACTGGAACACAATGGAATGCACTCCTTACTATGAGCCCATTGAGTAGTCGTTTATACATCTTCACTGGACATTGGCAATATGTTTGATACCGTTACTGTTTAAGACTGGTTGAGTTTTATAGCATACCAGAATTTGTTGATTTTTTAAAATAACAATAAATCAAGTGATGTTTATAAAATTGTTCTGGGTGTGAGCTTTTTCACTGTGCAATTAAGCTTTGAGTATACGATTCTATGAAGATTCTCTTGCCATGCTAAAGTCAATAGCACAAAACCCATCTGTGCACATCGCCCAAAGTTTTAATAAAAGGCGCCCAGAAATTGTAACCCTCCCCTATAAAACGTGGGCCCATAAAATTATGGCCCACCCCAAATGGGCGCCCAAAAAAACACAGCCCTCCCCCAAAATTTACCAGCCCTCCCCCCCCAATAGTTAATGACCGCTCCCTTACATCGAACGTTATACCACGTTATACCGTTAGACACAATGCCTTTTCTTTTTTGGATTTTCTCTCTTTCGTAAAAACTGAAATATACCCTAAAACAACTTGAAATCAACTGAAAATGCTCTCCCATACCATCTAACTAACAAAGTGCGTGATAAATTTGGCCAAAGATTGGTCACTGTCTCGGCAACTATGCGGAAACTAAGAAGACAAATACCCCCCCGGCATTTTTGTGAAAGTTAGAAGAATTCTTTATGCCGAATCGAACTAAGTTTAAAACAAAAAAAATGGAAACTTAACAGTCAGCTTGTACAAAAGAAATGAACTGGCCTAACTCTTTTAGTCCAAATAATGGCTTATCATAAAGGAAAAGTTCTCAAAAAAAAATTCAAATTTATCTTTGAATAACAATACTTACTTTAAGCTCTGCTAAAATGCTTTCATTTGAATGGTTAATATAACATCACGGGCACCCAACGACTTTTTTCTTTCAAATATCTGTTCTAATTCAGAGAAGCAAACATTGAGTAGAATTTTCTATTCTTTGAGGACGGTCTCTTTTTCGGACAGCTAAAAATTTCTTGACGGACCGTTCCATTCATGTACAGTTTTCGAAGCCTATCTAATAAATTCCCTACGACTTTCTGAAGTGTAATTTTCGCATTTTACTTTCCACGTTAGGCTTTTTTCGTAGAAAAAAAGGAAACCTAAAATTTTCGGATTCAAAAATGTGATTGAGAGAGGAATTAGGAAATGTCTCACTTTCGTGATACGTCAAATTTCATACAAAATTTTCTGGAAAATAATACTGAAGCCCTTGTAATTTCGAAAAGACTCAAGTTCCCCTAGGAGGACCGAACAGATACAAATTTTACAGCGCCGTTGTTGGTTGCCCCTGATAACACCATAGGAACTCTACTCAAATTCTAAAGGCAAGTGCGTTTCAAACCTCCAACTTCACATACGTCCAATCTAATACAAATAGGCGAGAACATCCTATATAATAACGATGATTCAATTTAAAGGATAGGAAAAAACTTGTTACAAACAAGCTTTCGATTCCATCGCGGAATCTTCATCAATAACGCTTGTCACGTGATTCACAGTATAAATCCCGTGACAAAACGTCCAAATCCATCAATGGAATCGAAAGCTTGTGTGTAAAATTTTTGTTCCTATCCTGTACACTGAATCGACGATTATTATTATATCACAGGATTATTATACGACAGGATTAAGTAACTCTTTTTGCGCTGAGAAGTTTGCTATAATTTCCAAGTTTTAGACTGGCGCGTTCATTTCCCCAAAACTAAATTTGCACGTGATGCTGTCAATTGATCATCATGTGGCGTGTTATATCATTCGAGTTGTTCACATTTCCCCGTCATATTGAATTTTGAGCATAATAGTGATGCAAAGAATCGAGCTTTATGCTGGAATTTTCGACTCTGTCTTTCTGTAATAATTTACAATGATTAATAATAATTATTATTATTATTGGAGCCGCTAAAAGATTAGCCTCCCACGCAGACCCTTAAGAACATCTGCGTGGGAGGCTATTAAAAGATATTTTCTCTCGGTATAGTTCTGGCCCTCAGGAAGGCTAATTTTGTTAGCCAAAATATTGGCCTATAATAAATCAGCCCTTTGCCATAGGGCCAGCCCTGCATTGAGTTAATAATAATAATAATTATTATTGTTATTAATATTATTATTTCAATAGGTTGAGTTTGATCGTCCGGGTGAACGTAGTCCTGAATAGGACTGTTGTTGTTGACAGTGACTGACGTTTCGACAACCTGTGCGGTAGTCATCTTCAGAGTCAAAGTGAGTTGTGTCACGTCAACTGACGTGACTACGTTCACCCAGCTGATCAAACTCAACCTATTGAAATGACTCCCGGGTTCAAACTTTTCACAATATTATTTTTTTTTTTTTATCTCTATAAAAACTTCATAACCACCGGATGCTTGCCCTTTAAAAACCAGGCCTGGTTACAAATTAGCAAAACACATGACTGCCTTTGAGAAGGTAACGTGGCGTTGCTAACACTACAATATACGATATCTAAAATTTTAATTAATAATTTTAAAAAAGAAGAGCAGTTTATTCTACACTGTTGCCACCTAGGTTAACCTGTCTACTCTGGTTTACGAGGAGCCGATTTTTCTTGATTTCCTATCATGTAAATTATGAGGTAGCATTTTAGAGAATAGCCTGAGACTAACAGCCGACATTTCGAGAAGCTTCCACTGGTTTCCAGGGAAACCAGAGGCAGGGGTAGCGTCGCCGAATGTCGGCTGTTCCCTCAGGCTATTTACAGAATCTTAGTGATGGTGCGGGGCTATATTGAGCATATAAATAGTGAAAATTGCTGAGCATAAAAAAATTAGCATAACAGTGTGAAATATCGAGTATGACCCTAGTTGACGAGATCGCGTGACAACTGTTAATTTCGTTTGGTAACACGCGAAAGAAATGTATACGTATTTACAATTCTTGCTTATCGGCTGATGAAATGTTACATTTCTCTGCTCGTAGAAAAAAGTGAAACCTTCCCTCGAGCGCGGGTTAAGAAAGCTGTTTGTTCCAGGGAGCGATTGGGTCAGAGTGAATATTTTCCGACCACGGTCAGGTGCACGGCGGCCTAAATTTACTTGCTTCCACTATAAACAGATTTTTGCCTTTTATAAATGAAAAGGTATAATATTCATTTTCAGTTCAAAATTGTACTTCAGTTTCTCTCCAAATCTCTGCATAGTTTTGTCCACTATAAAAGATGAGCATCTAGGCTGATGCGCAGCACGTGAATCGTGGCATTTTCTGTAATGAAAGACACGCGCCACTTCCCAATTAACTTTATCGGCCTCATAGAACTCTTCGATGGGTTTGCTAATGTGATGTATTCCTTGCTCGAATATTCTCCGCGGATCTACGATACACTTGGTGTAAAATGGAGTCACTTGACTTGTTCGGTGGAAAACGCGTTGTGTTATTAAATGTGATCCATTTTGGTCCGTTGAAGGATCCAGAAGAACGCTTTCAAAGCAGTGTCCACAATGGTTTTCCTTATGAATGTACTCTAACATTGCAGTTATGTTCTCATGGCGAAGGGGTACAATGAATTCATCCAAGTCATGAAACGCAACAAAGTCGAAATGTCGCATAGAGCGAAACAAACACTCCCAGATGGCTAATGGTTGACCAAAATAGTGCAAATCGTTTTTTCCAATGTACGAGGGTAAATTCCATGGGAAGACACTCACTAAACCTAGATCTTGATAATGATTCAAGACGTTTCGCACACTCTCAGACATTGATAAATCATAAAATGTAAAATGTGAAGCGCCCAAAATTTGCGTGAGTTCTAAAAACTCAATAATTTTTCCAACCGAGATTTCACCGTGAACAGGAGGGATACAAATGCCATATTTCTTTTGAATTCTGCCTTTCTCATCACCGATAGAACGAACTGGAAAGACCATCGCATTACTCTCGCTACGTTCCGCTAATGTTGCAGAAATGTTCACAAAGCATGGAATATTGTCTAGACTTTTTGGAAGAACGCAAGAAGCTATAAAGTATGCAAAGCGCCGTTGGTAACTTTCGTTGTGCTCATAGAACGAGGCTTCGACGGCAAAAGTTTCCTGTTTTGATGCACTTTTAAATAGGCAAGTTAGCGACGGAACTGTTTTTTTCAAGGACAGCAACAAAATTCGTATAAAATGCTGCGATTTTCGATCGTCAAACCACACCGAGTACACCAACGCCTCTTTGGCAATCTCGCGAAATCTTGGCTTTTCTACAATTTCAGGACAATCATACTTGATCTGTTTTTTAGCCGTCCCTTGCACGGTATCTGAAACCGTGTTGTTCACCTTTCTGTTGTTATAGCTAAGACGTAAATGTTTGTCGCCGAAGTCACTGCTTCGAGTCGATTTATCCTTTGCATGTTCGTAGCCCGTAATTCCAATGGATGGCCCTTCCAGGCGCAACTGTTTCTCAGCACCAAAATTTGTACGGTCGTGGTCGCTATTTCGGTTTGAGTTATCCCTATAATGTTCATTACTAGTCAGAATTCCGATGGCTAAAAGTCCGTCTCGTAGTTCCTGCTTCGAGCGTTTCTCGACGTCCAAACTTGTCGCTTGCTGACGCTCTATCGCGGAATTTTCAAAATACAGAATAAGAAACAGGCCAGTGAGCCCTAAAATCGCGAAAACTGCACGTTTTCTACGTCTGTAGGGAAGAAATCGGCGGAAACATCCAGACCTTACAAGGGTGATCATGCTTTTACACGAAGTAAATTGGAATGGTCACGCAATATTTAGAGTTTGATATACGCAGCAGGTTGACACGATAGGCCTTGATTGACACAGAAAGGCCTCTTATCAAGCGCATCTATTTTAAAAAGCGCAAAGTCCTGAAAGCTTCAGGGGCAAATTTCATTTGCGGCTATCAGCGGGTGTCTGTAAAGGGAGGAAGCGGACGACGGAGGCGGACGGCGGATGGCGGAACGCAGAAAATAATAAATATAATGAATAAAAATAAATTAATAAATGTATAGGATAGATAAATAAATAAGAAAACTAAATAAAAAACAGAATTCAAAATATTAAAAATATAAATATCTCTTGTGACCTCTCCGGATCGTCGGAGAGGAGATAAACAGAGTAGGCAGTTTTGTAGTTTGCTGAATGTCACTTCCAACTCGTGGCAGGGAAAAAAAGATGTGCAGTTTCTGTCGTTTCAGTTTGCGAAATTCTTTTGCGATATTTAACGGTCCGTGCCGTGATGTCGAAGAGAATGGACAAAAGAAGCCACGCTTGGTCGAGTAAGATACTTGCTGTTTGCCGCAGCCCACTGCTTTAGATCTCTTCCGGGTCAACTGACTCCGACACAAACAAAACTTTAAAAGGTCGCAGAGCGGGGTTCGGTAGTCTGCTGCACAGGAGCGTTGCGTGACGACACTAAAAACGGCTGTGTAGCAGACTAGAGGTTCGGCCTCTCGCAGTAGATTCAAGCCTTTTTGAGGAGGGTTGAGCGGAGAGAGCTTTAAAAAAAGCCCAGGGGTGCACCCTTATATAGGCCATATAGGTATGTGTTGCTCCAAAGGATAGGGTTTCTGCGCCGTTTTAGTCTATAAACGGGTCTAGACTTTGCCCAGTTTGGTCTGGAATCGGGTATGGTTTTTGAGGAAACTACGGGAGTGTATGAACGTATTTATCGGTTTAATCCCAAACGAATAAGAAAGAAAGAGAAATATGCGAATTAGAAATGGATTTTAAGAAATCTTTTTTGTTGCATTTCTAATCTATTAAGTAATGATGATAATGATGACATAATTTCTTAGAGGCCAGGTCTTAAAACGGGTGTGAAAAATGTCATTTTTTTTGGTCTGAAACAGGGTCAGGATTTGGCGAATCGGGCGGCACGCCCCCACCAAGAATTCCCAAAAGTACCTTGGAAAAAGACGAAACAAATTTAGTTAACTTAACTATAAGGGATTGTTTAAGTCTCAGCTTTCAGGGATATACATTTATTTAATTATGTTTCTTTTATTTTATTTTTTTTAATTTTTCGTTTAATTTCAAAGGCTTAGTCTATTCATGAATGGAGCCACGATGCGGGCAAAAGGGTTCTCAGCGCCTCCCGCGACCGCTTGTGGGCCCCACGCTTCGAGTTTGTGTCTTCAAACTGGCTGGTGAATCTGCGGACTAATACATCACGCACAACAGTTATAGAATTATAGAATGATTACTTCAATAATTCACACGTTAATAGTGGAAGAAATTAAATCTGGTCTCTTATGGCCAGCCTTCTGACCTTGTGAGAGCCTTGCTTCTCATCGTTCTCCTCTTCACGGAGTAGCAAACGTACCATCACTGATCAAATTTTCCAAGGAATAGTCAGGAATAGAGTTCTTCTTGGTTTTTAGAAAGCTTGTACTGTATGTTGCATGCTTGCATACATGAACTGTTGCAGAAGAAGGTCAGCCTCGACAGTGCCAGTTTGGAAGCTTCTTAATTTTTGAAGCCCTCACCCCTCTTCAAAAAAGCTTGAATCTAGGCGAGAGGCCGAGCCCGCTTTTCCAACTTTCATTAAAAGTCAGTTCTGTTTGATGCGTGTTCGCTGTCGGAGTCAGTGGACCCAGAAGAGTTCTAAAGCAGTGGAGAATAGCTGCAGAATACAGCAAACATAAAAAAATGCAGATACCGCAAAAATTAACTTACCTTCCGGCCAAATAATCATCAGCGTAGCATCTCATGTCTATTCTCTTCGACATAGGCGCGGACCTTGAATACCGCAAAAGAATTTCGCAAACTGAAACGACAGAAATACAAATCTTTTCTTCCCAACCAAAAGTTGGAAGGAAGGACACCCGAGCGAACCCCATTACTGCCTACTCTCAGCTATCTTCCCTCCGACGATCCAGAGATGTCACAACTTATTTTTATACTCTATTTCTTACATACTTTAAATTCTTATTTTTTACTCATTTGTCTTATTTCTTTGTCTATCTTAATATTTATCTTATACATTTTTGGAAACATGGATTTTCATTTATTTATTATTTTCCGCCAACCACCGTTCGCCGTTCGCCGTCCGCTGTCCGCCATCCGCCGTCCGTTCCCTTGTTTTACCGCTCCCGCTATGAGATCTTTGACAAACTCTTTCAGTTACACCTTTTTCTATAGTACATACAAACTTTCGCTTTTCTTTTGTAAGAAATAAGTGACGAGTAATGAAAAAGTGATAAAACATAGAGTCATAAAACATGGAGTCGTAAATTTTTATTATCATATCACTCCACTTTTTATCACTCCATCACTCCACGTTTTACTACTCCATGTGTTTTATCACTCCATGCTTTATTACTCTACGTTTTATCACTCCCTGTTTATCAATCCAGTCCATATTTTACCACTCCACTCCATTCCATATATTACTATATGCCCAAGCTTCTGACAATCGCTAAACACAAATTTAAATATCAAATACGAAAACCTTACCCAACTGCATGTATGGCGAATAATACTCAGCTTTATACGTAAACTAAGGCTACAGTTTGGTTTTGTAATAAATAAAAATGGGTTTATGGCTAATTTTATTGACTAGTGAGTCTCTTCAGTCACTATCGCATTTTCTTCAGTTTTCAACTGTAAGGTCAAAATGAATTAATTAAAATTCATGCTTGCAAATGTATCAAACGTCAATGAAAACTAATTATAAAAAGAACAACAACGACAGACCCCATACGGCTGTAAGACTACGCTTTCAAAGATATTTTTGATCTTTTCCCCCTGATACTCCATTTTTAAGTTACAAGTATTTTATTTTCGAGTCGTTTTAGCCTGTCTGGTAACCGTTCAAAAGGAAATTTTAATTAAACACCTGGCAATGCAAGCAGGCCACGAGAATTATAACAGCTGATGATAACTATTGACTTTTTGTTCCTTTTGCCCCGCGCATATTTTTAATAAAATTTACAGACAGATGTCGGTGTCAATATAAACAGGTATAAACTTGAATACAGGGTTGTCACACAACTCCGAGCTCCCTCAACACTTTTTTTAATATATGTAAGAAATATTTTGATAAGAAAATCGAGACTAAAATTTTCGAAATCAGTCAAGAATATTTTAACGGAATAATTTTGTGTGTTGAAAACCAATTATATGTTTTCAACTTGCTTTGTCTAAACGGCAAAACTCATTGGTAGTTAATTTCGCGGATCTTTAAGGTGGCTCGATACAGTTTTTCAGCGTCAATACCTCTCAAGTTTGAGCATAAACTACGTCGCCATAAGCAGACTTGGAAAAATTGCTACCACAATCGTATTAGATAAAGAAGAAAATTTTTTATGATCGGAGTTGTCATACAACGAAATGACGCCATTACTTATTTTACTTGCAGCAGTATTTCTCGGCACTGGGAACTGTTTTTCAAAAATTGTTCACGGGAGCTTTTTCCTCCAATAGCCGCCTCGATATTCGTGAAGTTGAACAGCGTTATCGAGATATTTCAGGATGAAGATTTTATGGCTAGAAATACGGTGAAAAAGTGAACTCCAGATGTTTTTGTTGATTTCCGGCGGCCATGTTGGTGCACCAAAACGGTACACCAATATGGCGTCTCCATACTCTACAAAGGTGCGTGAAACGTTTCAGAAAATAACCCAGAAACTCTGCGCGACAACGACCTGAGACTTGGATAAATTGTTTATAAACGGTTTCCAATTTATTTTTTTTTTTTGTTGCGTGACAGCGTAAACGATCTATTAGGCGGCTTTTCGAGTCACGCACGTCAACCGGAAGTGAGACCTTTTCCATTTTGATATACCTTGGCGCTGTCAAATTTGTCTTGCTAAGTACCTTTACTCTCATAGAGACGATTTGCCCGAAAATTCGAACAAAACCACTGAAGAATGCAAAAAGCCAACTTCTGGTCGGCTTCTGTCGCTTAACATAACCTTTGCTTAACTTCCCTAATATTATAACATATAAAACTAGGGTATCTAAAAGATAGTAATGCTGCGGCACATTCTGTTGATACTGGCATTAGTTAGGCAGTGAGACTTAAAAGAATCGAAAATGACGTTGAATGTCCTATTTACATGTTGGAAACTTAGAATAATTACTATCAGTCTATAGAAAGAACTCGTGGGAACGTTGTTTAGAAAATGATCAAGTGGTTATCAACTCTGGTTTTCCCACAGTAAATTGTAGGAAATAATAGAAATTCAGATTGTTTATCCATATATTTAATATACGGTGCACGATATTTTCTCTGG